ATCGACAGAGCTCTGGTGGTTCGTATGGCGGGTCTTCGAATTTCAGGTCTCCGCCGCCGAGAAATTACGAGTATGAGTACGGAGGAGAGCGAGATCGCGATTATGAAAATGGAGGAGGGATGAGGAGGTCGAGGTCGTACGGCGATATGAATGACTCGGTGAGTCGAAACGGGCGAGATGAAAAGAGAATTGTGAGCGTGACCCCATTGAGGGATATGAAGCCGGAGCGAATTTTCGTGAAAATGGGTCATTTGCAGAGGCTGTTGGATCGGTTCTTGGCGACCCGGCCCACCGGGTTGGCTAAGAACAGTCGGTTGGTTCTGGTGGCGGTTTACCCGGTGGTGAAGGAGAGCTTTCAGCTGTATGCTGACGTTTGTGAGGTGTTGGCGGTTTTGCTTGATAAGTTTTTTGATATGGAGTATCCGGATTGCGTTAAGGCTTTTGATGCTTATGCAAGTACGGCTAAGCAGATTGATGAGCTGGTTGGGTTCTATGGTTGGTGTAAGGATTTGGGTTTGGCGCGGTCGTCGGAGTATCCGGAGGTGCAAAGGATTGGGAGCAAGTTGCTGGAGACATTGGAGGAGTTTGTGAGGGACAGGTCCAAGGGAACCAAGAGTCCAGAGAGGAAGGTGGAGCCTGCTCCTGTGGCTCCAGTTGAGGAGGAGCTCCAACCCAATATGAATGAGATTAAGGCTCTGCCCGCGCCGGAGAGTTTCACTCCACCACCGCCACCTGAGGCTGTGGTGAAGGCGGAGGTGAAGCAGGAAGTGGTAGGGGATTTGGTGGATTTGAGGGATAATGGGGTTTCAGCCGATGCACAGGGTAATCAGTTGGCTTTGGCCCTGTTTGCCGGTCCTGGTGGTGGTGGAAGTGCTAATGGATCCTGGGAAGCTTTCCCATCAGACGGGCAGCCCCAAGTCACCTCGGCTTGGCAGACTCCAGCTGCAGAACCCGGGAAGGCGGATTGGGAACTGGCGTTGGTGGAAACAGCAAGTAATTTATCTAGGCAGAAGCAAAATCTTGGTGGTGGGATGGATCCATTGTTGTTGGACGGCATGTATGATCAGGGCATTGTGAGGCAGCATGTGAGTGCTGCCCAATTGACTGGTGGTAGTGCCAGTAGTGTAGCATTGCCTGGGCCGGGCAAGAGCGCAACGCAGGTGTTAGCTCTTCCCGCCCCAGACGGGACAGTCCAGGCGGTGAATGAGGACCCATTCGCTGCATCATTAACCGTTCCGCCACCATCCTATGTGCAAATGGCAGATCTGGAGAAGAAGCAGCATTTGCTTATGCAGGAGCAGCAACTGTGGAATCAGTATGCCAAGGAAGGAATGCAGGGGCAAGGCAGCTTACAGAAAATCAGCGGGACCGGATACTACGGAGCAGCTCCTATGGCAATGCAACCCTACGGAATGCCTCCGGTGAATGGAATGGGGATGCCCCCACCGGCCGGGTACTACTACGCTCCTTACTGAATTTTGTGATCCTCATTTGCCTGCCTATAAAATGACTCCTCTTTGTTAATTCCGTATGCTATTTTCTAGCTTTCTTTAATATCTTGCTTGAATGTACTAAACCTGTTGTGCATTGATGGTGGGGGAAGAGTGGGACTGAAATTATGAGATCATTTGTTGGCGGGGACTTTGAATGCTCGGATATACATAAAATCGATTTGTGATCTTTTTTTTGTTTTGTAATATTAGATTTTCTGGACTTTTTTTAGTTTATTTTATTTTATTTATTTTTTTACCATGAACAAGATATCTTTGATATTTGTTTTGATAACAAAATTTAATTCAATCGATTTGATAACTGTATGTATATGATGCAAGGCATGTTTGGTCATCTATTTAATATCACAAGGCTATAGTTAGTTGTTTGATTCTTAAGTTGCTTGGATCGGTGGCATGTTACGGTCCTTTTTAGGGTTGCGAGTTATGTTTTCTCGGACAGACAAATCACAGTTTGACGGGTGTGCGTAAGCGTTTCCTTGTGATTATGATAGGTTAGTTTTGCCTATGTGTCGGTTTATAATTAGCTTGTAAGGAGCAAAGAAATACTCGTATGTATATAGATGAACAAAACACAAAATATGTGTACTTAATAGTCGCTTGTTTTCCTGGAGCGACACTGCTCCTCCAAACTGAACCGTGTCCACTCCTACTTAGGTTGATTACAGTTTTGGTTTGTATGCTTTTTCATGTTATTTCCAACTATTTTTAACGCGGATCCAAATTTGGACATAGTTGGACTTATAATCTAAAGACAAAAGAGAGTTCCAGATTATAAGGATGATTAAGTCGTGGATAAGCAAGACCTGCGACATATACGATAGACGGAAGTCCAAACAAGCTTGGAGGTTAACAAAAGAAAGCAACGAGAATTAACTGAAAACGACCTCCCATGCCACTTTTGACGACTCTTTTATTCAAGTACGTACTAAGAGACAGAAATACAAAAATGTCATAAACCCATGGCTTAAATTTTCTTTTGTTAAGTGACCCCATAAAATATATTGAAATTGAATTTTACGTTGGAAAAAAAAAAAGATGAACTTTGCATATACTTATAAGCAGCTGGGTTATTCACCAAATTGTCTATTAATTTTACGGTGAATTCTTAACTTCAAAACAAGCAACCAAGGGCAGAGGTACAATATGGCTAGGGTGGGCTATATGGCCTAGGGTGAGTTCCGCCATTGTAAATGCCCATTCTTTGCTGTTAAATTGACTGTTTCATGCCATTGACATTACGTAATGTTTGTAATATTCTCTCTACTTGTAAGTATAAAATTTCAAGTTAGACTTAAATTTACAAATTTATTATGTGGTTCAATCCAAATCTTGTTACGTAATTAAAAGAATGTTGAGAAAAATAAGGATGTGACATGCATTAACACAATTAATCATACTTATCAAGCGTTGCATGCTTTGCTTTTTATTCTTCTAGTTGTAGACAATGGTGACTAAAAAGAACAATATTGTCTTCTTTAGGATTGTGGACAACAACTGTCAATTGGAAGGGAGCCCACTGGTTCCCTTCCTCCTCTATGATATGAGGATCCACCACCATCACCGCCAATTCTTCGTGAATCAGGCACCAAGTAATATGTGACTCATGACCCACCTCCCACACATACACATACAGTCTCTTTCAAAAAGTTTGTGCTTTTTCGACTTTTAACCTTTCACTTTTGTTTTTGTTTGATAAACGCTACTCTCCAACTTTTTATGCCTAATTGACATTTGGTATACTCTTATTGATTGGATTCTACCTGAACCTTCTAGCCAATCCCACTATGCAAAGTTGGCATGGTTTATCAAAGCAAATGTTATTCTCACTCTCAGTTTGCCACTATAGTACTCGTAGATTATAAATAGGGGATCAGAGCGTAATTGTATGACATGGATATTGGGACTCAATAGACGAGTTTGATCGCAAAAACGGCGCATGTGGTGTGATTGAATTGAACACGAACCTTCTAGCTAATCCTACCATGCAAACCAATTATTCGCCCTCTTTGTTCGTCATTATGCGTTACAAAATAAAAGTATTTGAGAATTAAAGTGTAAAATGAAAATCTCATCTCATCGATAAAGTATCTCTTCTGGAAGCAGAAGACAAAAGAGTCCGTATCGTATTGGTAGTGTCGGTGGGGAGAAATTTGACCATTGACAACTGGCTTTGGTCATTCCTTTGACATTTCACGAAGTTGGCACCCATTAATTCTTCAATGAAGGTGGTGTGATTAAACATAAAGGAAAACTAATAAAAAAGCTTGAAAACTTTGAGTTTTAATGATAAGGACAAAATAAAGGGTAAAGTGAATAGTACCAGGATTGACTTTTTCGTGTAAAAATGTGGTTTTTCGTTAAAGTGAACAGTACCGGATGCTTTTCGTTAAAGTTCTCTAAACATAAACAACCAATGGGTCGGTGGGTGGGTCCAACAAGCTGCGCTTGCATAATTGCATGTGTGTATTGCTTATTAGTTTTATATACAATTGTAGGGGCTTATTAGGAAATAAGTACAAATTAGTTGAACTAATTAATTAACTAACTCAATTTTCATTAATTACAAACCCAACTGCAACCTAAAAAATAATTAGTTTTACCTAAAATGGTTGGCCAATCCAAATCAACACCGAGAGGTCAACTGCAGGAGAGCTCTAGAGAGTCCTACTGTCTAACAATGTATATTTGTGTATTACTTATACACAACGATATGGATTGGAGTAAATCACACAATAACTCAGCTTGATCAATTAGTATCGGATTTGTAATTTATGAGAATTAAAAACTTCATATTTCTCACTTATACAAGTAAATTGGAAGACCATAAACTATAGAACTAATGAAATACATTGCCTTCCAAGTAAATCATATCGACCTGTTAATTTTTTTTCAAAATTTTCAGCGTAGATTTATCAGTTAAATTCAACAATATATGTTTTGCATGTTTTAGTAGAGCGAGAACGTTAGTTGGTTAAATAGTTATTTGTTATGAGTGAGGAAATCGAAAAGGATCGAATCCGCGCTAATGTGCATAAGCATAATTGTTTTGTCACTGCAGTAAAACACCATCTGCATATGTTATGCATCTATGCATTCTAGAATTTTCACTTTCTGCATCCTTGGGCGGCTGAAGATGAAGATAGGTCATTAAACTCTTGGCAGTAGGGAGTGGAGGACCACATGAATGATATAAACCCTAATTTCTGCACTTCTGCAGTATTATTTGAACCATTATTTCTGCAGTTGAACCAACTCTGCCCGTGATCTGATAGCTTAGCTGATTGTGATTTTGCAGTTTGGCATTGTTCAACTCTGGGGGTCCAAATGGGCCCAAATTTCTCTATGAGGCTCATAAGTATCATTGTTTGGATAAGTTGGAGTTTCACTCTTAATTTACTTGACAACGAAAAGTAATCAAAATTTTATAAGTTTATGTACGGTTTCTAAATTTTTTAATGTAAGGCAACTCTTTACATTGCCATATGTTTCTCTCACGTGATGTGAGAGAGACAATAAAAAGATATATATGCGGTTACAAGGACAAATTTTGTCTGCATAGAGTTGGCTTCCAACCCGAAATGCATGTGAAATCCATAGTACAGTATAGTTGGGAGTTACTCATGTAAGATAAATATGATCTATAGAAGCCGATGAAAAAGCCATGAAGCCATGATCTTCAAAGTTGACCTTCTCATCTCTCTGCCAGATTCCCAATGCTCAAGCAACAATATATTTTAGTTCAATAATGAGCGGTCAAATTCTATGAGAGCATATGTCACTTTCCATATAGACAAATAATTCCTTACGATTCTTCTATTTGAATCATTGTACAAAACTAACATTATTTCCAAATTATGTGGGCTATTAATAATGTGGTTCAAATTCGCATTTCGATGAGAATGAAACTTTAGACTTCTCACTTAACGTTACATGTAAAAAAAAATATCAACTAGATCATATTACGAAGTGGCATAAAGTTTGGTAATTCAAGAGAGAACATAGACATTAGAAACAAAATAAATATTACGGGCCCTTATATTTTGAAGACCTTTAAAGAGACTTTGGTTTGGGCCTAGCTAGTGGATCTCCTATGAATTTTCTATAGTATAAATCAAAAGCTCAAATTTAAGTTACATATTTGAATAAGACCCGTTAGGTCTAATTAGGTTAAATGATTTAATTGCTCTCTAAATGTATAACTTTTGATGTGCATTAGAGAAAGCATCTCCACTTCTATAATCTTGTACATACTTTACGTCGATGAACAAATTTAGATCCACACGCTTGCGGATCCACTAGTCCTAAAAGAATTTGGATCCAACGTACCAAAACAAATTTAGATCCATTGCTCCTCTATATTTATCATTTCTTTTCTTAGTTCTTGTGGTTGGATGGCAAATAACACTTTACCGTAATGATAAAAAAACAATTATGCTCATAGACTCTAGTACGGGTTCGATCTCCACTGACTTTTTTCTCTTAACAACTAATTGTCTAACCCGTCAACGTTATCTTTATACTAAAGTAGAAAATGATTAGCATTATTTTCAAGAAAAAGAGGAAAATCTTTGTAAGAGAACATCCGGTACAAACAAAAGCTTTCGTATTACATATTGATGAGAAAGTTTGTCTATATATATATATAGTTGTGTCTTTTGCAATGGGACGTAGCTACCATGCATATGACATTCTAACAACTCTTTTCGACATAAGTACTTTATAGATGAGAAATTAAGGCACAAATCATAAAACAAACCGTACAGCTCTTATTAGCAAGAGGTTTTACAAATGTCTACAACACAAACATGCATGAATCTCACTATGGAACAACGAGACGAAAAAATAAAACAAGCAAATTAAATACTACGTAAAGGATGAGGAGAAAACGGCGAATTAAGGAGACTTATTGTTGATATACTTAACTAATTAATGACAGAGATGATAGTACACACTGTTTGTATGACAGTGAGTACGATGAGAAAACCAGCTGCAAAGACAGAAATCATTGCCCAAGGTGTGTTGAAATACTTTTGTTTCAAGCTTGCCTTGGATTTGTTCCACGGCTTTCCGACAGTAGTTCGTTCAGGTCCTTAGAAAGATCAGCAAAGTAGCAGTTTTCGTTGTTCCAAGAAACCCCAAGTGCAAAGCTTGTTAATCAGACATAGAAACCTTATTGTTGTCGCCGAGCGTATTCACGAACAATTCCATCCTCAACAAGGAAATCTACATCCATTGGGG